TGTTTGCAATGCTGAAAGGGATAAAATCTTCTCATCCATTCATATGGGAGAGGGTGGGTTCTTTCCCTTCCCTGTCTCCATAGCTAGGCATCTATATAGACCCAGTAAAGTTATAGTTAACTTATGTGTGTTAAGCATTAGGCTCCATTTACTGAGAGAGGTAAAAGGCTAGGTCCTGTGAAGTGAAAGGTAGAAGTCGAAGACTCATTCTGCTAAGTATAATGTAGGCACGTTGGTTGTCTTACAGCCTTGTTGTAGCATTGGTCAGAAGGAAACATGATTGCATCTGTGTGTTAGAGTTGGTAGTCTCAGACACAGCAGGATAATTCAGGACTGGCCATACCACATGAGCTTTCTTTTCAGAACATGTGGGTAGGGTGACTAACAAAGCAGCAGGTCAGAACATCAGCTCTAGCTGTAGTTTGATTCAGGCCTTGACAGAGCATCTGGGGGATAAACAAACAAACAAACAAACAAACAAACTAATGTTAATTTTCCTCACACTGCACCTGTTGGGGTCCAAGGTGCTCTCACCCCACGTATCAGAGTTGTTGTCTTCTCTCCATGGGCATAAAACCAGAGTGTCTCATTTAGGTTGTATAACTTCACATATTCTCCAATCAGCCCTATTTCCACTAGGTCTATCATCCAGGTGTGATCAGGTGTAAGTGGGGCGGGACACCCTTACCTACTATGTGTGAGCTTGGCCAGCAGGATTCTCAGCCAAGTGGTTCCTGTCTTCATACTATAGGGTCATGTCTATCAAAAAGAGGATCCAAGAAGCTGGACCAGAATTATGTTTGAATCCTTCAGGCTCCCTTTAAGCTAGGTTCCCAGGCTGGCATTGGCTCAGGGAGGAACCTTAGACTTGTAAAACAGACCTTTGCAATCCCTTATCATCCTGTTCTTTAACCAGGAAAGGATTAGTCTGGAGATGAAGGACAAGGAAGAGGTGAAAGAGGCAAGGTTAGAAACTTTCTTGAGGAGGTTGCCCCAACGCAAGGTGTGCCAGATGCCAGAGGATGGAAAATCATATAGAACTAGTGCCTGTTATTGGTTTTCAAGGAAAGACTGGCTATTGCAGACTATAAAGGGCCCAGAAAACCAAGAAAATGACAGAGTGGTTTTGAAGGTCACAGAGCTAGCTGACGGGCCTGAATGATCATGCTATAACCTGAAAACATGGCAGCAAGTATGAGGCACCACATTCCCCTGAGGGGTTTGTGCTAGGCAGTTAGCTAATAGTGAGTGGTGGCTCTAAGAAAATAACAGAAGGACATATGTCACATCAATCACAATTTTTCAGGAGTTACAACCAGACCCTCCATGAAAATGCCTTCTTCCCACCCAGTTCCTAGTGCCAGGAAGGCGAGGCAAATTCCATTTTTCCTCCTTGGTACCTGAAGAAGACACATAGGGATGATTGTAAATTTCCCTCTTATCATTCCTCATAAATACAAAAAGACCCAACCAGATATTTTGGTCAAAATCCTGATTCTCGCTGGGGCAATAAACTAATTGGGCAGTTCATCCTAATTAAGATTCTCTTATCATCATGGCTCACACTGGGCCTATGCAGTCACATGCAGCCAGGCCCTGGCTGGGAACTAGGCTCTGAGGTTTGAGCAGCAGCTTGATTTCAGTCAATTGCCTTAGGAAATGGAGAGTTCCAGAGACCAGCAGCCATAGTTTGTCTGTGGAGCTCAGGACCCCAGAGGTCTTTAATGTGCCATCTGGGCAGCCAAAGCCATAGCAACCCATTGGCACTGCTGGATTTTAGCTTAGCTGGACATTTGGGAACCCAGCCAGGCTATAAGGGAACCTGTGAATAGAGAGCCCCACTGAGCCAGTGGCTTTGTGTTAGGCAGCAGACTGGGGGCTAAAGTTCCCCTCTAAGGGAGAGTGTCCAGCTCCTGCAAAACAGGTACACTAGGGCCAAGGTGGCATATCCCAAACATTGTGTCATCTGACTCTTGAGGTTGGCAGGCCCATCTCTGTTGGTTGTGGTATGTCAGGTAACTAACAAGACCAGGGGTCAGGTGGTCAGCTTTATGGAGGGCTGATTACAGGCCAAAGGCTGTCCTTTTAAAGGATCTTTTTCTTTTTCTTTTCCTTTCTTTCCTTAATTTGCTAGTGAGTGTGTGCACATACCAGAGACAGAGAAACAGAGGGAAAGTGAGAAAGCACCCCCCCTTGAGGGATGGTCACACTACAATCTCTTCTCCATTTCTCCTCTTGGGATTTTGGTTACACATGCACGTGCACCTGACATATTTTTTAAGCCACAGGGTCTGAGACTTGAATAGTACAATCAACCATGTAAGATCTGGCCATGTGGGATCCAGTCACCTTAATCACTACACCACTGACTGGCCCAGGGCTGTTCTTTTAGAGGGGGTACAGTTGTACCTGTAGGTGGGAGGTGACACTGCTGACCTGGGACCCACCCCTGGGTTCCTCATGGTCCTCCTGAGATCTTTTTTTTTTTTTTTTTTTTTTTGGAAAGATCTTTTTTTTTTTTTTTTTTTGAGAAGTTTTTGCTATAGGGTGCATGCGCCTGCCAGAAAGAGAGAGACAGAGAAACAGAAAGTGAGAAATCACCCCCAAGGGGGGATGGCCACACCACAATCCCTTCTCCATTCTCCTCTCTAGGATCTTGGACATGCGCACACATGCCCGGCATGAGTTTAAGCCACCAGGTCCGGGACTCGAACTGAGGTCGACTACATGGGAGTCCAGTGACATAACCATTACGTCAACTGCTGGTCCCCTCCTGGGATCTTAAGCTGCTCAAGGGAAGGCTACCATTGTCCTTGAGCAGACACCTCCTGGCTCTGAGTGCTGAGTGCTCTGGCAAACAGCACACATCTCCCTTTTTGCAGCCTGTCAAGGCCCAGAATAGACTGCAATCCTACCCTCAGTGTATTCTGCTCCTCTTCCTCAACACAAGCTGTGTCCAAACCCAGTTCAATTCATTTGTATGCTCTGCAGGTCTTCAGAAAGCTTGAAGGGTGTGACAGTTGAGCCCCAAGGGTCATGAAGAACTCAGGCTGATCTTCCAGTCCAGACCAGGAGGGAGAGGATAAAAAGGGAGAGTGTATGGGAATGAAGGGGTGGGGGAGTGAAATATAGCAACATATAAGTTAATATCTTTCAGATAGCTTTTCTGGAGGGAGAGTATGTGTACCATCAAAACAGTGAACCAAAGAAAAAGAACACTGGGTTCAGGAAATCAACACAAAGGGGGAAGAGGGAAATCCCAGACAGGAGCCACCTCTGAAACCGTTGTCAGTCTTGCAGGACCCCTGTCCCCTAGGCACCCTCACTCCAGAGGAATGGATAAAGTTCAGGGATGCATGGCCCATCTGATCACCCTGTGTGTGGCTAAGAGGGACTTCTGCGCCCAATCTGGTCTTACAGGAAAGCCTGATGACCCTATTCCTAGAGGGCAGAAGGTTTCCAACCCCCAGCGACTGCAATTCAGTAGAAAATGCGACCTACTTGAACTGGAGGATTTCTTCAGGACTGCATGCATGCTTGAAAGAATATGCACTCAGCTCCTCCTGACAGATTAGCAAAGTCCAGAAGGGGGAGAAAGATGTGAGAGACGATTCTCTATTTGCCTTTTATCTTTAAATTAGTACTTTATGTGTATCACCTTCTGTGCATATGCAAGCATGTGAGTGCACAATACATGCATACGTGCATATGTACAGCGGGAACGGTGCTGTAGCCTGGCCATTCTCCCTCGTCAGGAACACTATCCACACTGCCTGCCGGCTGAGGCCTCTGTACTGGGCTAGTTTACACACACACACACTTTTGCCCTCTCGACCCCCTAGCGAACCCTCCCATGCGCGCTGGGGGCAGCCCCTGCCACTCTCTTGAGCGCTAAGGCCACCACAGAGAGGGCGCGGTTGCGGGCAAGACCGACTACGGAGCCTGCAGAGTTCCGCGAGATCCAGTCTCGCGCCTCTCCATTCCCTCCGGCCC